GGCGGCCTTTGAGGGGATCCTGAGTCCCCGGGGGATCCCCGAGGGGCCAGCAGCCTCGATGGCAGATCCCACATCCCTGGGGGATGCTGAGCTGCTCCCAGAGCAGATCCCAGATCCCCCGGGGATCCCCAGTTGCCCCTGAGGGGATCCTGGGTCCATCAGAGACCCCTGGGAGGCCCCCAAGCAGATCCCTTAGGGATCCCCAGTTGCCCCCAAAGGGGATCCCTGACCCCTCGGGGGTTCCCAGCAGCCCTTGAGGGGACCCTTATTTGTTCCCAGAGCAGATCCCAGATCACTCGGGGGTCCCAGCGGCACTTGAGGGGATCCTGAGTCCCCGGGGGATCCCGTCCCGGATCCCTCGGGGGTCCCCACTGGCCCCCAAAGGGGATCCCAGATCCCTCGGGGATGCTGAGCTGTTCCCAGAGCAGATCCCGGATCCCTCGGGGGTCCCCGGCGGCCTTTGAGGGGATCCTGAGTCCCCGGGGGATCCCCGAGGGGCCAGCAGCCTCGATGGCAGATCCCACATCCCTGGGGGATGCTGAGCTGCTCCCAGAGCAGATCCCAGATCCCCCGGGGATCCCCAGTTGCCCCTGAGGGGATCCTGGGTCCCTCAGAGACCCCTGGGAGGCCCCCAAGCAGATCCCTTAGGGATCCCCAGTTGCTAAGGGGCCAGCAGTGCAAATCCCAGATCCCTCAGGGATCCCCAGTCACCCCTGAGGAAATCCTGGGTCCCTCAGAGATCCCTGGGAGGCCCCCAAGCAGATCCCTTAGGGATCCCCAGTTGCCCCCAAAGGGGATCCCTGACCCCTCGGGGGTTCCCAGCAGCCCTTGAGGGGACCCTGAATCCCTGGGGGATCCCCAAGGGATGGGCAGAGCAGATCCCAGATCCCTCGGGGATCCCCAGTCACCCCTGAGGCGATCCTGGGTCCCTCAAAGACCCCTGGGAGGCCCCCAGGCAGATCCCTTAGGGATCCCTCTTTGTCCCCGGAGCAGATCCCAGATCCCTGGGGGCCCGCAGGGTGCCCTGGCACTGGATCCAGGATCCCTGGGGACCCACCTGCCTCCCCGGGATGCCCGTGGGACCTGGGGGAGCATCTCCAGCTCCCATCCCACCTCCGTGGGGGGACCCACGGGTGCCAGCGCGTCCCCACCAGCCGTGTCCCTGTGTGGGGGGGCCGAGACGGTGGCTCTCCTCCCCCCTGTCCCCTCCCCTGTCCCCCGGGGGCCGGTGGCAGCCTGGGGACATACCGGGGGTGCCCGCGGGGCAGAAGCGGGCGGTGAGGGGGGGGAAGCGGGAGGCAGGAACCGGTCTGGCAGCCACCCGGTTTCGGCTAATCCCGCAGAGAGAGCCAGAAGCCACCTTCCCGCCGGCCGCCCTTAACTCCTGGCTGCCCGAAAACACGTGCCACGTGCCGCCCACCCCACGGGTGGTGACCTCCCCTCGAGGACGGCGGGGCGGCCAACCGGGGCCGGTGCCACCGTGGGTACCGGCACCCATGGGTGCTGGTGGTGGTGGCCACCATCGTCATCATCATTGTCGGGGCTCGGCCCTGGGTTCCCCCCGTCATGAATATTCAGCCGTGCCCTGGCCCTGCCCCGCTGTTTGCTCAGGCAGGAGGGGTTTGGTGGCGGGTTCACCTTGACGGGGAGGCAAACGGGGCCGGCGGCAGGTAGACGGCACCTGCCCGGGCACCCCCCCCCCACCCCCGGTACCCCCCCTCCGGGGCTGGGCGGCCGCAGCGGAGGCGTGGGAGGCTCAGGTACGGGGGACACGGGGTGCTCAGGGTGGGGAGAGGGACATGGAAACCCCCCCGCTGCCACCCCCGGGGGGACTGGGTTGGTGACGGGTGTCCCCTCTGGGATCTGGCACAGGGAAAGGGACATGGCGTTATGGGGAATGGGAGGGGGGGACACAGCAAACCAGCCGAGGGGCCACCCTGGGGGTCTTCCCTGGGGTGGTGGCCCCCCGTCTCGGTGTCCTTGTCCCCCGGGGAAAGCGATGCCGGAGGCAGCACCCTGGGCAGAGTGGGGGGGCTGGTCAGGGCTGGGTGCTGTGTGGGGACACGGAGCCAAGGCTGGTTCCTGGGATGGGGACGGGGCGCTGGGGACCCCCTCTCCCTGCCCACTGCTGGGGACGCCTCAGGCTCCTCCGCTCGGGAGCCGCCTTCCCCGTCCCTGCCCTGCAGCCACGCTCCGCCGGAGCCTTCCTGGATTCCTGGAGCCTCCCTGGATTGCCAGAGCCCCACCAGTGCTCCTGCCTGTCCCCGCGGGCAGGGCTGGGCAGCAGGAAAACCCCAACCCCGGGGTGCAGTGGGTGGTGACCCCCCCATACAAGGACACCCCGGCATCTCCCCAGCTCCCACCTGCTTCCCAGTTCCTGTTCCTGTTTGCCCGCTGGGCTCCCCCCCTGCCCCGCTACATGTGGCTGATCCGGTGGCTCCCAGTGGTGCCAACGGCCTTTCCCCGGGCTCGGCTGTGCCCAAAGTCACCGGAGCATCCCCCTCTGGCACTTGGAGGGTTCCTCCTGCCACGGACCCCCCCCATCACTTCCCACCAGGAGCATCCCAGTGGAGACAGTGGGAGAGCACCGGAGCCACCTTCGGCAAACCCGGGGTCCCCACCGGTGCCACCAGATCCCGTGTCCCTTCTCCATCCCCCATCATCTGTAGCAGAGCTGGGGGGGCTGAGGGACCAACCCCCCCACTCCCCGAGAGGGACTACGACCCCCACCTCCGTTTCAGGGCCCGGCAGCGATGGCCGACAGCCACGGCTGGTGGAAGCTGACGTTCCTGCGGAAGCGCCGGTCGGTGCCCCCGGTGCTGTACGAGAGCCCCGAGAGCCAGGCGGGCACCGGCGGCGAGAGCCAGGAGGGACCGGGCGAGGAGGGGCCGCCCGGCTTCACCGCCCGCCTGGAGAAGATCGTGGACAAGAACACCAAGGGCAAACACGTCAAGGTCTCCAACTCGGGGCGCTTCAAGGAGAAGAAGAAAGTGCGGGCCACGCTGGCCGACAACCCCAACCTCTGCGCCGCCGGCGAGCGGGAGGAGAAATGACCCCCACGGTCGTCACCCGCCGGCCACCACCACGGCTCCATCCCTCCCGGGGACACCGGGCTTGGGAAGGAGAAAGGACTCGGGCTGGAGTTTATTCAAGGGAGAAGCAAAGACCCTGAGAAGGAGAAGAGGGGAGTGGAGCCAGCCCGTCCCTCCCAGCCCCCCCCCGCGGGCAGGGGGAGCCCCCCGAGGCTGACTGGTCCATACTGGGATGAGGATGCTTCCCGCAACTTGTCGCTTGCCATGGACCACTGGATCCCATCGCTGACCCAGCTCTGCCCCGACCCCCACCCCCTCCTGCCCGTCACCCACCCCTGGGGGGGTGAGACAGGGGGACCCCCCCCTTTTGTCCCAAGGAGCTGCGTGGCCACGGGCAGAGCCACTGATGCCACCTCCGTGCCAGCAGCCACCCCCAAACCAGGGGACACGATGCTCCCCTGCCCCGAGGGAACGACCCCGCAGGAAAAGTGCCCCCCGAGCTGCCTCCATGGGGACCGGGGAGGGGTCCAGGCCCCCCCGGGAGGAGCTGGATTCCCGCTGGCATCCGGGAATCTCTCCCTGCTCCCGGAAAGGGGGGAGCCAACCCCCCCCCCTTGGGGACAGCCCATCTCGCAGCCCTCGAGGTGGTTGGACGCTGAGCTGATAATTAACTGTTGTTAATAAACCAGATGCCGGAAGCCAAGCCCGCTCTGTGCCGGGACGGAGGGTGGGGGGGGGAAGAGCTTGGTGGACCCCCCCTGTCCCCTTTTGGGGACCCCGGTGGGGAACGGTGCCAGCTGTGGCCAAGGCAGGGAGTCCCCCCGGAGGTGGTGGTGATGGGGGGACACACAGATGGGGGGGTGGCTGTCCTCAGGGCTGCCACCCCGGGGTGCTCTCTCTGCCGAGCAAGGTGCGGCCGTGCCTCAAGTCAACAGCAGCAATCACTTCCCAGCAGTTACAAAAGCTGGAGGGTGCCAAGAGCCGGAATCCAACCCCCCCCTCCCGGC